TAACCTAAAGAGAAAGTAACCTTAAGAGTAAGCAACCTAGTAAGTCTTTGGAGTAAGTAACCTAAAAAGTAAGTCCGAAACGGCACTATCATGTCTTGTAAGCCTATGTGTACAGAAATATTATGTAATGTTCTGTATCGTAGAGTAACTGTATCGTAGAGTATTGTGTTGTATTACATGATATTTGCGTCACGGCGTCTTCATGCAGCATGCCCTTGGCATGACACAGCTCATCACCTATATTGATGCAGTTTTCGGGTAGAGCCAGAACGGTGAAGCCGCCTGCAAGACCACCAATGGTTCAGTGGGCTGCCACCCCCCTGAGAATCCGTGCGAAAACTTGTGCATCATGTCAAGCCAGCATTGTTAACCCCTCCCCCCAAACCGAACCGAACCAAGCAAAGGGGAAGCCGTCGAAACGTGCCGGGGCCTCGCCTTGAGGATCTTCGGGCTTGGCCTCGGACCGCAAGACCCCAAAAAACATACCGTGGATGGACAAAATCCTGCACCACCTAAGAAATCCTGGAATACTGATTCCCTTCCAAATGATGGTTTCCCATGGTTTCCAAGTGTCCATCCACAGTATGTTTTTTTGGGTAGAAGCCAATTTTTTGAAGCACTTTGAGGATCCAGGTATGTGTTTTGGATACACATGGCCGAAACTCTGAAACCGGATGGAAACAAGATCCCATCCGGTTTCGGCATTTCAAAGGGGACAATTCCGGGGGTTACACAAAAAAACTGACGAAAAAGGAAGCCAACATGGGTGCCACTCCAGGTGGTGCGGAATAGCCCCAGAAATCAAGGGACCCCAAATGACCCGGGTGACATGTGTTCCTCTGAAGCAGGAAAACCATGGAAAGGCACTTGCGGTCAAACGCTGGTGCTCATTCCGGTTGATGCTAGTTGACGTTTCGCCTGGCTTTGACCTGCAACCTGATGTTCATTGCCAGCCCCTTAACGCTCCCAAAAACAATCCGAAAGAAACAAACATGCTACTCAGATGCCCAGTGGCCATGGGGAAAAAAGGGCATCCCTTCATAGTTGGTTGACTTTAAAGGGGAGTGCTTCCCAAAAAGAAGGGAAAAAGGGCACCACTGGGCAACTGGGGCTACAAAGAAGGGGGTCCCCTTGCCCCATGAAGAGGCTGCATGCCAAAGATGCTGACGCAAAGCACTTTATTCAGACAGGGCGGGTAGCACGTCTTCTTTGGTGGGTACCTGCTGGGGGCCTCGTCCAAAAGAATTGAAGGGAAACCATCCATTTTGGGTGGTCCTGCATTTTGAGACAAACTCATAAATCAGATCACACTCCATCGAGGAAACTCAACAAGGCGTGTTTGCACCGCAAAAAAAAATGGGATTCCAGGAGAAATGGAGATGCCAATCAGCATATTTAAGAACCCGTACAGCAGTGGTTGATGTCAACCACTGTACTGGAAAGTCTTGCTCCTTAGGGAGCCCAAACAAAGGGGTCCTCCAACAAATGTGACCCTCCATCATGGTGTTTTTGCTATTCACGCAGCTCTGCAGGAGGCGACTTCTCGATTTTGAGGGTAGGTGTCCAAATGACTCACAGTGATCGAACCAACCCCCAAGCCACCCAGAGGCGCGTGAAGGCTCAGTTCTGAAGGCTTTGGGCTCCCGGCTGCAGGATCCATGGGGAGGGCGCCACACCGTTCGACAAAGGAGCTGGGTGAAGCAACCCCCAGAAAAACCTCCAACTCGTGGGGTTTCTTTCTTCAAAAAATCCCAAACACTTAGAACAACCTTGTGGTTTTCACTATTCGGAGATCAACAAAAACGCCTTTTCTCATTCCAGGTCTTATTCCCGACTTGTCGCAGCAAGAAATCAAGTGCCGCCTGTCTTTCCAAATCTCCGAGGTCATCGCTTTTCTTGGTTGGAAGGACCCCTCGGCAAAAAGTTGGTCGCTTGTTGTGGGTCCGATACGGGAAATCCGACCGGTTTCAACCAAAAGTTCAAGTCCGAAGATCCAAGCAAATAGCCAGACATTTTTTACACCTCAAACACACAGGGGCTTCAGTTGTTGTTGAAGGGACTGAAGCGATACAGCAAAGCAATGTAGCATCCTGCCACAAAAGAACAAAGTCCGTTGTAGTCCTTCACTATCTGTCAGTGGAGGGGCGGGCCATAAACACACAGGCAATGATCACGCTGCATCTGGCTTGATGTGGCGTCTGGCTTATGTCATCCAAATGGCTTTCTGCGTGCGTGGCAGCCTCCTAAGCTGACTAACCTTGGTGATCGGCAGCGGGGCGACCAGCAGCAAAGAGTTACACAATGCATTCTGACGAGCCGGGCAGCATAGCTTCAGCAAATGCCACTGCAGTCATGCATTTGTGTGCGTGCTTGGGGCCTTCTCTAAGAATGCCTCGAGTCCATTCTGCTTTGAGACTGCGAGGAAGACCGTCCATGTCCGAACCAACCTCCCTGGCCTCAGGAAACGCACGGCGCCCACAACTCCCAGCTCCTGACCGGGCTGGATAATCGGAAGCAAACTTTAACAGCTTGGCTGAGTCAAGATCCCTGACACCTGGGCCGACGGGGCGGCGCTTCATAACCAACACCTGGGACCACCCACTAGGGGGGGGGGGTTGAGTTGGAACTAGCCTTGTTCACCCATATTTTGCCATCCACCCCTACCCGACTTTTTTCGGCAATTCAAAAACGCCTATCAAAACAGTGTTGGGTCAACCAAATCTCACTCCCCGAAAAGTGGCTAACGAATAGAAAACATAAATTCTAATCGTTAACCCTACCCTGGAAACATTGGATGGCAAAATGCGAGTGAACAAGGCCTCGGTAGATAGGAAACGCCATTGCTCATACAATAAAAGTATGTTACAATTACAACACATAGGATCCTACATGTTTTAATCATATCAGAAAATAATCTGGAAAGTGCCAACCGTCCCACTCTTCAAAGCATTCGTCCAACTCATCATCTTCATGTTCATGATCACTACCATCATTGAATAATATGTTAAAATTGTTTAACTGTCCGCGATCTCAATTCCAAAGATTTCGCCGTGTAGTGTAATACGTCTATAGGTTTCATTCACAGCATTGTAATGTAAAAGTTCAATAAACTCATTAAATATTTCATTGCACTCATCGCACACATCTTCTCTGAGTTCAACCAGTGTATCCGAAAAAAAATGTGTGTTCAAAGAGTTAATTGGTTTTCGCTTCTTAGTAGTAACCAACAAAATGTGTACCACACATTGATGTATTTTGCTTATTTATTCAAGGTCGGGTAAATATCTTAAGGGTTCACATGTTGGTATATCGTCATCATCATCATCACCATCATCATCATCATCGTTCAAATCACACTAGTATTCTAATTTGGCTTTATACAAACATCGAACTTGCTATCACGTTTGGTGCTTGATTACACATATCATTCCTTCACATGTTTCGAATCTAATGTTAATCGGCCATTTATTCTGATATTCTGATGTCATTTGTAGTGTAGCAGTTGCTTGAGCAGATTCCTTACACAATGCGAAAATACAACATTTACATCTATAGTTGGTTGCTACTTGTTGCTTTGCTTTTGCTAAATCCGAATAGGTATCAATTTTACACATATTCATTTTGCTTTATGTGTCACAAATCATCCTAATATATAAGGTTAATATTTCTGTAAATGTGTTTTCAGGAATCGTTTGATTCAGAAAACAAAAACAAAAACATACAACAACTACGACAATTACAACAATTACAGCAATTACAACATACAAACACTTACATGTTGTAAATGCAATACAATTACGGTATCAAGGCTTCATTGATTGAAGTTCCATTACATTTGTGTTCCTTCCGTCATTCCTTCGTCCCCATTTATGTTATCTCCACATTCTTTACAAGTTTTGCAATACACTGTGGTCATTGCTATTGTCCTACCCTTTATAAACATCCCTTCCGGGTGTTACGTCACCGCACGTCTTGCAAAAATAAGCATTGGTGCGTCCTATTTCGGCTTCGTCGTCTCTTCAAATCATTTGTGCTACTATGTCTTTAAGTATGTTTCAATGCAAATCAAACTCTTAGAATGACATGACGAGACATAAACAGTTGTATCTTCGACATAATCAATCTTCTAGTGTTCAAATGTGCTGTTCTTCGGTTCCTTTATCTCTTTGTTGTTAAGTTATTTTCCAAACGTATATTTTGTTTGTTCTTATATTCGCCTGTGTCGTTTATGTGGCTGAGGCCTTGGACAGGGACTCTAAGAATGAGCGGACAAAAAGACACAGCTTTTCTTTGCGAATCTAAACCAGGCATGTACTGAATGCCGATCCTCTCCAGTCTCCAGTCAAGACTTAACACCAAAGTTCATGCAAATCGAATTCAGGTTGCACAGGCTGAAGCAATCTGTACAGCTTGCCAGTGCGCTAGGCATCTGTTTGAGCATCTGCTTTGCAGAACCTCACGAGTCCTACATGGAGACCTTGACAGGTCACCACTAAGTAATCAGGCGGGCATATTTGCCAGGACTTCTTCACGTGTCAAACTTGCGTTTCCAAGACGTTCCAACCCTTGGTACGGTAGCACACAACTTTCTTGTCGCAGCCCACGTGAGAAACACGACCAGCACTAAAAACGTCAACATGCCTAAAAACATGCCAACGACGGTGAAGTAGATTTTTCAGTCACTACACGCGGCATCCAACCTAATGCGCCGGAAACAAACACACAGCCCACTGGGTTCCTGAACACCTTGGCGCTTTATTGCAAACAAACCGGGGCGCGGTGCTCCTCTCATACGGTCAAAGACCGGTCACGTGATCAGCAAAGGGCAATATTTCAGAGCAAACCAAACTCGACTCAGTTGCCCAACGGATCCAGAAATAAAAGGTGATCACCTTTTGGGGCCATGACTTAAATAAAGAATGAAAGGGGGGAAAGCAAAAGGTCTGATCCTGTCGATTCGCAGGGCTTGAGCTAAAACGCCCACGCCAAATCTCTCGCGGTCACCGGAACCGTGGCGTAAAGCCGGGCAGGCTTTCCTCCAGGAGCCGAGCGATTTCCACGAGGATGCCGCTACTCAGGGAGTTGTTTTGTAGCTCGATGGTCCTTGGCGCGGACGCATTTCTACAGCTGACACGCCTTTGGGCTCTGGCTCTGGCAGCCAAATGGTTGCGCTTGCGAGTGAATGCAACGGGCAGCAGCTGGGGCCAAACGCTCCACAATTAAGTTGTGGATTCCCTTGACATTTGCAAGCCGATCAACCCCAAGAAACCATGCCCACCCAAAAAAATCGAGGACGCATGAGTGCTGTGTTGTTGTTGACGGTACCGGGTACCTTGCTTCAGGTTGGAAACCACCATTTTCAAGCATACCCCTTTGACACAAACGGGCAAGATTCATGGCCAAAGCCTGATCTGAAAATTGTCTACCCAAGGCCAAGTCAAAGAATTACAAAGGCCGCACCCATGTCTAGTTGGGATCAGTCCCCAAACCTTCGCATACCCGCTAGGTCCTCCAGTAGAGAGGTTAGAATAAGGGTACCCTTTTTCTTTAGTCTTTTTGTAGGGGAACCCTCCCAACCAACAAAAGGGTGAGAAAGGGCACCTAGCTGGGGGACCTAGCCCGGTTTTTTTTGCCTTTCCCCTCCTCAAAGGTGCGCATGTTTGACTCCGACGAGTGGCCAGCCGCGGTTCCGCCGGGGGTTCTTGTGCAACACCGCTGCCATCTTTCGGGCGCTCTGCTCTTCGCAGCCCGTGCTGGCCAAGGACAAGCGGAATGGAGCCTGGAGGTCACATGTCTCCAATCCCAGTTGTACCCCCTCAGTTGGTTTTGGGCTTCTTTCTCTCTCTCTCTCTCTCTCTCTATTGCTGTCTTTCTTTATTTTGTTCTTTCTTTGGTTCTTTCTTTCTTTTCTTTTCTGTTATTTTACGTTCTTTCTTTCTTTTCCTTCTTTTTCTCTCTCTCTCTCTCTAGCACTGTCCCGCAGGTCCCAAATTAGTAGCGCTCTTGCCCAGGAATCTTACGACCAAGCATTAGATTGGCAAGCAATGACCGGTCTTTTCTGAACGATCCGAAAACACAGGGAAGCGTGGCTTCCCGAAAGACCTGGGTCAAAAAACCACCTGCTTTCATTAATATCGACCCCCTGCCCAAACAATGAGTGGCTTCGCATTTTGGTTCGGACCATCCCAGTCTTCAGTGAACGTAGACACACACACACAAACTTGCGAGTCTGTGCGCAAGGGGATGACTAAACCGCTGAGGAAAAAATAACTTATCTACTTTTACCAGAGCTCACAACTTGCTGGTGCTCAACAGGGAACGAGGGAATGAACCCTATAAAAGCATCCAACTCATAGTTTCCTTTCGGGAATTTTCAGGTTCATACCATTTCTCATTCCCTACATTTGTCAATCCCCAGATTCATTCCCTCATTCCCTACCTATCGCACCAGGGCTCACAAACCTCCGCGGCCTGCTGCCAGAAGGGCATCTCGTCCGAGAGAAGGTCCACGCCCTCCGCGCCGATGGGATTGCCGGCAAGGTCCACATAGCCTCGGCGAAACATCGACAGCCGGGACTCTCGCAAAACCTCGCCAGTTGGTGTAAGGGCCAAAGGGTTCTTATGACGAGTTTGTTGTGTTTTGGTTTTGGGTTTTTGTGGGGGGGGGGAGTTGTGAGGGGGTGGGTAGTTCCATTCGGTGTGCTTTGGTTCATTTTTGGGCTACTTTGATGGAAAACGTACGAGGAGTGACCTGACGTGACGTGTTTTCTATACTTTGGGTCTCGTCCTAAAGCGGGCACACACCGTCCGGTTGGAAAAACATGCCGCAACCCCCAGGTACAAGCATAAGCCGCTGCTTGAGCAAGCCCCCTGCCGTTTTGCAACAATACTTGGCCATTTTGCCGTTTGGCTTTTGCTAGTACAAGCGGTCAAGAGTCAAACCCCCAGAATTCCCGGACGAACGAAATGGAAAGCGTTTCAGCCGATCCGTTGGCTAATGGCCCTCAGGTTCCAGCTGATCAGCCAATACTGCCTGCTCTCCGGCGCTGAGCAGCCAACCGGTGAGAATCTAAATGGGTAAAACGGCCGATTTGAGGCTTGGACCCTGGTTTGGGCAAACGAACAGCGGGGATACGGAGGGACTGGGGATATATGGGAAAATTCCCTTGGCGCCACTTCCCATATCAAACTTAGTCAAGGTGTAATCCTCCCGTATCCATGGTTCCCCCTGTATCCCTGCTAGTTGGTTTCCCTGAATGGTGTTTCTTCTTCAAGCATCCCCAATGCCAAGCCTCGAATCCGCAACCCCTTGCGCCGACCCCAAAGCCTTCAGCTGTTGTTCCCGCAAGTTCCAAGTGATTCCAATTGCAGCATGGTTGGTAACCAGGTATAGGTATGGCTACCTCGAGGTTTACACATCACAACAAACCTACAGCTTGCCCAACCAAAAGATCTCAACCCTCCAACCGCCAAATGGCCGTAGTTGTCAAAACCAATGGGATCCCATCTGGATCCCATTCTGGCGTAGGTGAATTCACCACCCATTTTAGAACCTATTTTAGTGGTTGGATTGGGATGTTCACTGGGGGTACGATTTAGCCATGGGTCAAAATCACGTACCCCCAGTGAACATCCCAATCCAACCACTAAAATAGACTGGATCTGGGTGAAATATAATATTTCACCAACCTGAAATGTGGTTGGTGGCCTATTCCCCACATAAACCACCATTGCCCCTGCTAGAAGTGTAACTTTTAGTGGTTTAGTACGGAAAACCCAAATTCGTTGGCAAAAAGTTATTCAGTCCTAACAGCCCTTGGCAAAATGCACCATATATGCACCAAAGAAAATGGGATCGCAAAACGGTTTTCACCACGGCCCTTTGGCTTTCGGCCCATCACCAACCACCCGAGCAGCGCAGCGTGGAGATCCATGCCCAGCCCTCTGCCAGCGCGTGGGCGCCCGAAGCTCCGATCTGGTTCCCCGAGAGCAGCAGCTCCTTTCTGCTCAAAAACCCACCGACGCGAAATGTACAAGTACAGCCCCCCCCCCAAAAAAAAAAACAAAATATAAAGAGTATACCACATAGAAGGAAAAACTAGAAAGAGTATACCACGTAAAATAAATAAATTACTTCGATGTCATGGTACAAGTACAGCCAGAAAAAAAAGAGAGTCTGTTATTAAAAAAAGAACAAAACAACTAAAAACTATGGTACTTCTCAATGCTCAAGAGTCAACTAATACTAAAACCGACTGTTGAAAATCCAAAATCTGGGAAGACTACTAACTTAAAGAGTTTCCAACATAAAATTAGATCAATCACCACCGAGACAAAATGTGCAGCCACACCAAAAAAACGTCTATAAAGAGTATACAACATAGAACCAATTACCCGGTAATAACCTTTTGGTTTTGGGTTTTTGGGCTCCGTCGCGAAGCTTTCGCGGAGAACAACACTTAAACAAACGTTCACTGAATACAAACCTTTCGAATGGACGCATGAACCAACTAAAAGCCACAACTCCATCCAACCCACAAACAAATCAGAAAGAACAGGTTGACGACAAATACATGTCTCGTAAATACTTGGGCCTCCTCCCCCTGCACAGAATGCACCCCGCCCCCCTTTCAAATGCACCCCCCCCCCCCTCCCCCCTCAACAAAACTCACCCCCCCCCCCAAAAAAAAAAAAGGCCCCCCGCTCCCCCCAAACAAAAAACTGCGGATGCTTCCCCTTGCCTTCCCCAAAACAAAGCACCCGGGGCACCGCCGGTCAGGCGGCTCCCGGCCCGCGCGGCCCGCGCTCGCGCCTGGAGGCTCTGCGCCTCGCGGAGCCGGCGGCCCAGCGCCAGCGTGGCCGCCTCACCCAGCTGCGCCTGGCGGAGGTCCAGGACCTGGCGGCGCGGAGCGGGCGGTGGGTGGTGGTGGGTGGGGTGGTTGGTGGGGTGGGGTGGTTGGTGGGGTGGGGGTGGGGGCCGTGGGGTGGTGGTGCGTGGGGTGGTGGGGGTGGGTGGTGGGCTTGGGGTGGCCATGTTGGCTCAGGTTCACCTTTGGGGTGGGGTGGGGTGGGGTAAGGGGGGGGTTTGCAGGCAAGCCGGCAAGCCACAACTCACTTGCCCCTTGTGGGACCTGGAAAGAAAAGCCGAAGACCCATTGCTTCCTTTCGGCAAGCCCCGCGATCATGTTGACCCCATGTTCATCAACCCAACCTGCTTATGAACATGATTAGGGTTAGGCCCTGCTATAGAATGTATGTATATATATATATGTGTTATTCTGGGTATTGTTTGCTTGATTGTTTGCCTCACTTTGAGTCACTGGTAAAATCCAAAATGTATCCTAAGTCTACCCCAGTTAATAGGGGAGTCGACCACTTTTGGAGGGGCCCCCACCCCCCTGTTAATACACTGGGGTTGATGAATATGGGATGAACATTCGTAGCCAACCAAACCATGCAAAACCTGGTAGCCACACCGATGGGTCACCATTTCGTGTGCTTTCGCCGATCGGAAGCGCTGGGTTGAAGTCCCACCGGTGCTTTGAAATCCCTTTAAACCAGCCCCAAGAAGCTTGGGGCACCCAAGGAGGTTTAACCAGAAGAATGGCCTTGGCACCCAATTTCGACGATAACCTCCCGTGGACAGTTTTGTTAACCCGCATTGCTTTATGGGCGGCTTGAATCGCAGGGCGGAGGGTTGCGAAGTACAAAATCCAATTATGTGCGTCCAAAGCCCCGAGCCTTCCCCCAACAAAGAACAAAGAGCTAGACAAGCAGCCCAAAACAATAAAGAGCTTAGACACAACACAAAAAAGAAGAAAACACAACACGCGGAGATCAAACGGGCGATTTGCTCAATCCTCATGTTCTCATGCCTCATTGTCTGCCCCTCGCAAATACAACTAGATATTGATCCCGACAAAAATCCGAGGTTCCTCTATGCGCTGTTGAGGCTTCCACCTAAATCCGTCAACAAATGGCCTGGAGTTTCTGGCCCAGGCCATTCGCCAGCAGCTCTCCTGCGAATGGATGGCGGAGGTTGCTGACTTGGCCCACCAAGACAGGTGCACTGAACATCATAACTCCGGAGTCTGCTTCAGATCTAGTTGTGGAAAAAGCTTTGGAGACCCCAATTTCTAGTCCCCACGTCGCTTTGAAGAAAAAAGGAATGTCCAAGATGCCGTCCAAGGATTACGTCTTAGTGTGCCGGGCCATTATCACACATTAGCGCTTCTAAAATCCTAGGCCGTCCCTTGAGGAAACCAAAAGGAAAAAACGAGCCACAATCAACAGCCGGTGCTAAAATGGTGAACCCAGAACCATGGAAAGGCTGGGATTGGCCCTTACCAACCTTCATCTACCCGGGTTTGATTGATACGGGCCACTGGACTTCCACAAGACTGGCCCAGAATCCCCAGAATCCCGGGTCCATGATTCCTAGCCTCCCAGACGTGCACAGCCCCCTCCCCCCATTTCCAATAGGAACAAACATCTGTCAAAAGTTGTTCTTCATTGAAAGCTTGACCATTGCCTCCATCGCGGCTCAGATTGATTCTATAGTTTCATTGAAGCAGCGTAGGGGTTCCTGTTCGGTCTGTTGAACCGTGGAAAAGTCGTCACACACATCCTGCTCAAATGTTTTTTTTTCTTAGAAGTTGTTAAAGGTCTTTGGACCACAAAGAAACAAACACCCTTACCACCCTTACCTCATTTCCCGCGTGTGCCGTCAGCGAAGCATATTCAGCGGATGAAACAAAAGGTAAAAACATACTGTTCTTTCATAGCATATCCACTGGGGAGAATGGATGGCAAAGGCATTCTTCTTAAGCATCGGGCGTCAGGCAAAGGGCCTACAATTCACCACCGTTGTCTGCCTCACTAGCTCTATGGATTGGCCAAAAGAAACTACAGTCCAGGGACTCAGGGAGCGAACTTCCCCTTTGGAGATTCAGGACTGCACACCATGTCGAACCCATAAACGTCGGACCCTGGCCCCACACCGCAGGTCCCCCTGATGACATCCTTACGCAACCAAGACATGTTTGCCGACTGCGCCTTGCATGGTCAAGCTGTTGCGCCTGGTGCACAAAGAAATGCATGGGGACAAAAACTATCGAGCACGGCTGGCAAAGATGTGCAAGCTACTGTCGATGGACAAAATCCTGCACCACTTTCAAAACATGGAAAACCACTGTTCGTTGGAATTTTCAGGGGAGTCGTCATTCCAAGGATTCTTAGGTGGTGCGAAATGGATGTCGTCCATCCACAGTATCTCCCGCCCACTCCTCCTTTGTCGCCCAAAGGGTTGCAGCCCAGTCTGGCCACGACCATGTGACCCACCAGTGGCCTTGGTGCAGTCGCTGCGCGAATTCAAGAGGGGCCGGCTTGGTTGCAATAAGTTGATGCTTGTTTTTCTGCATGGCAACATCATGGTTGGCAAGTTGCGGTTGGGAAGGACGTTCAGGTGCTGAGAGCCAAGCATAAAAGGAAAATCCAGGAACCATTGTCACCACCGATGGGTTCAAAGGCAATCCACAGTCAGAAAAGCAGCACATCACATCCCAAATCCGTAGCCAAAAAGAGCTCCACCCCAAATTACCCTCCCTCCAAGAGGGGTTTGGTAAGCCCCGGTCCACTTCCATGAGCACGTTGGAAAGAGCGCAATACCAATTCCTGCAACTCACTTCCCGAGTGGATTGGCCAGAAAAGGTAACCCAACCGTTCTTATTTACCACCAAAATTGTCCAAACCCAAAGTTGCTTGTCCAGGAACTCAGGGAGTGACCAGAACTTCTGCCCCCCCCCCCCAAAGAAAACACACACACACACACACACACCTGCCATGTGCTTTTTCGGCCCGCCGGACAACATGAGAACATACTTCCGGTAGTGATATCAATTCCCTTCAAAACCAACAGGGGCAAGAAGCACCATTGTTTGCAACTCGACCATGGAAAGATACCCAGCAATTCACTGTCATCTCAGCAAACGGAAAGCAAAAAACAAAACCAAAAAAACACTTGCCCACTCGACTCGCCCACTCGACTCGCCCACTCGGCCGAGCCGAGGCTCGCCAGCCACTTGCAGCCCTCCACTCCAATGCCGTTGGTGCGGAGGTCCCAGCACTCTAGGCGCCCACGGGCGCCCAGAGCCTCTGGGTCCAGGCGCGTGGCCAAAAGTCTGCAGGACCTCGGCGTTTATTTTCGAGCTGGTCATGGGCCAAAACATATACTCACTTCCCAAGTTGACTGGCCAAAAAAAGTTTGAACTTTTATTTACCACTAAAATGGTCTTTCCAAAAAGCTTAAAGTTCATGAACTCAGGAAGCGAGTATAGATAGTACAATATACATGTATGGCCATGGGTGAAAACCTAAATCGTACCCCCGGTGAACATCCCAATCCAACCACTAAAATAGGTGCTAAAATGGAGGGTGAATTCACCGAAAACCCCAAAATGGGATCCCATTAGTTTTGACCCACAGCCAGCTGAGCTTTGGAGTTGGCTTGGTGTGGGGTGGTTTCCCATAGGGGGTTCCGGATTTGGTGGTGTAGTGGGTGGATCCTAGTCGTTGGGTTCAAATCCCCAAACCACCAATCCAAACCAACAAGTTGAGGGGTCACCTGATCACAGCTGGGCCCCATCTGCCAAAAGAAAGCACGTCAGAAAAAAGGAAGTGTCCGTAAAAGTAGGTCTGCAGCCCCCTTTATGGAAAGAAAAGCGATTCCAACCCGTCGGTATGGCTAACCCGGGACAAAGAAGCACGCCATCACACAAAGCTCGCCGCGTAGCTAGGTGGTGCAACAAGTGGCCCCCTTTCGGGACAACAAGCCTGGTCCAAAACTTGCCCTGAAGTACACCCGGTGCTTGTTGCCTACACGCCCTATGGCTACCTCTAGGGTTACATAGATCCCCCTGGTTACCCAAGACTGGCTTGCCAGACCCCGAGGCGAAGCACAGAAAACCCCTCTGAGCCCCGAGCGGACCACGTTTGGGGAGGCTCGGCTCGGCTCGGCTCGGCTCGGCTCGGCTCGGCTCGGCTCGGCTCGGCTCGGCTCGGCTCGGCTCGGCTCGGCTCGGCTCGGCTCGGCTCGGCTCGGCTCGGCTCACTCACTCGCTCCCTCACTCACTCACTCACTCACTCACTCACTCACTCACTCACTCACTCACTCACTCACTCACTCACTCACTCACTCACTCACACTCACTCACTCACTCACTCACTCACTCACTCACTCACTCACTCACTCACTCACTCACTCACTCACTCACTCACTCACTCACTCACTCACTCACTCACTCACTCACTCACTCACTCACTCACTCACTCACTCACTCACTCACTCACTCACTCACTCACTCACTCACTCACTCACACTCACTCACTCACTCACTCACTCACTCACTCACTCACTCACTCACTCACTCACTCACTCACTCACTCACTCACTCACTCACTCACTCACTCACTCACTCACTCACTCACTCACTCACTCACTCACTCACTCACTCACTCACTCACTCACTCACTCACTCACTCACTCACTCACTCACTCACTCACTCACTCACTCACTCACTCACTCACTCACTCACTCACTCACTCACTCACTCACTCACTCACTCACTCACTCACTCACTCACTCACTCACTCACTCACTCACTCACTCACTCACTCACTCACTCACTCACTCACTCACTCACTCACTCACTCACTCACTCACTCACTCACTCACTCACTCACTCACTCACTCACTCACTCACTCACTCACTCACTCACTCACTCACTCACTCACTCACTCACTCACTCACTCACTCACTCACTCACTCACTCACTCACTCACTCGCTCGCTCGCTCGCTCACTCACTCACTCACTCACTCACTCACTCACTCACTCACACACTCACTCGCTCACTCACTCACTCACTCACTCACTCACACACTCACTCGCTCCCTCACTCACTCACTCACACACTCACTCGCTCCCTCACTCAAATCACTCACACACTCACACACTCACTCACTCACTCACTCACTCACTCACTCACTCACTCACTCACTCACTCACTCACTCACTCACTCACTCACTCACTCACTCACTCACTCACTCCCTCGCACGCTCGCTCGCTCGCTCGCTCGCTCGCTCGCTCACTCACTCACTCACTCACTCACTCACTCGCTCACACACTCACTCGCTCACACACTCACTCGCTCACTCGCTCTTTGACTTTCGCCAAGAGGCTCATCCCTCAGCTGGTTGTGTCTGAAGCCCCAGCTCCGGATACAGCCCGCAGCGTCCTTCGCCAACGTCAACAGCGCTCCAAAGCCTCACGGCCCCAAGGCTCCAAAAGACATCCAACCAAACACAAGGCGGATTTCGCCGTGGTTCAACCATACTGTGGATGGACGACATCCATTTCGCACCGCTTTGAAACCCTGGGAAGCCATTGCTTGTTGGTATTTACAGGGGAATCATTCATTCCGGGGTTTCTTAGGTGGTGCAGGAGTTTGTTCATCCACAGTAGGGTAACCCCGAAAATGGAACTTCTCCTAGTAAATGGAAACACGGACTAAAGCAAAATCGGTCCGATGCCTGGTTTAACTTTGACCCATCAGTTTGATGTGTCTTAATGTCTTAATTTTTCTTACTATGCCCAACTCTTTGGGAAAGGCAAGCCGACAAGAAACCCAGCATTTGGAGTGACCCCAAATGACAATTGCACCTGAGAGAGGCCCTGCCCGGAATCCGGGAATCCGGAGCCCCTGGCCAGCCAATCCAACAAACTGTTCCACACCAAACGGTTGAATCAATTGATGGTCCAAAGCAAATGCTTCAAACTGGGGTCAAAGACTGGGGTGCCAAAGGGGGGGAATGTGTGAGTTTCTGTCTGAACTGGCCCCGTGATTATTTTACCAAAATCACGCTGTAAGTGGCAGGTTAAAGGGACATCCCAAAGAAAACGTCTAAATTAGGGTTGTCCTTTCTGTCCTGCCCCTTCTTTTTTTAGGGAGGGACAAACCAAATTCACAAAAAACAACAGACCAGTCCCGCAGATTTTAGTAAACCGAACCAACTAATGATAATGACTATTATTATACACAAAAAACAGCTCAGTTGATATCCCCAACAGCATGCGTGCTCTTTTCTGTGCTCGCACCACCCCCGCAGCCCTCGCAGAACCTCGTGGAACCCTGGCGGAACCCTCGAACCTTACCTCAGGGCCGCCGCCCCGGACCCCCGCACCACGGAGCCTGGGCTGAGACCCCAAAGCCTTCAGCTGTGGGGGGGGGGAACGGGGGGGGAGCCTGGGCTGGGACCCCAAAGCTTTCAGCTGTGGGGGGGGGGAACGGGCGGAAAAAACGCCGAGCCTCCGAGCCAAAGGATCCCCCCCCTCCGCGCCTTTGGCCGTGATGTGGTTCAGCTCCAGCGTCAAGGTCTGCAGCCGGCCTCCCAACTTCAGGGCCAGGTTCATGACCTCGGCGCGCGGCGCGCGGGGCGTGGCCTCCGCCCACCGACCTTTTTGGAGACCCCAAAGGAACGTGGTGGACACATTTTTCAGCTTTGAGTGGCTGAAGAAACCTGGCTTCTTAACAGAGTGGGCTTTTTGAGACTCCAACTCTTCAACTTGAGAAGTGGTTGAAATATATACATCCGTTGAAAAAAACACTGTCGGTGGTTTTATCCCAACACCCGCCCTTTTCACGCGGAACCAGGCATTCGGGACCCGGCCCCGCTTTAAAAGGAACATGGTCTAAACAGGCACCCCCCGAACGTCAAGTTCCATGTTAACAACAAGAAGCAAAACTGTAAAATGTTTCCCAACAACAACCATGTTACCCTCCACAAATGCCCCACCTTCAAATGCCCCACCCCTTCATCAATTCGAATTCGCCGAATTCGACGTCGAATTCGTTGAATTCGCCCAGGCGCGCTTTCATCCGTGAGCCCGTTCTGGGATAAGTCCAAGATCTGGAGGTTCCTGGGCAAGGTCCGGGCCAGGCAGCTGGCGCCAGGGTCCAGCCTCTCCCAGTCCGCCGCCACCATGCTGATCTCCTGAAGCTCCCGCGAGATCAAAGCGTTACCCTCACGGCACCAGTTACTCCGGGCAGCTGGGGAGAGGCTGGGGAGGAGGGAGAGGGAGCCCGAATAAGCCCTAAATATGGCCTTATTGAGGGCTTATGGGCTTATTTTGGGCACCGGTGAGTCATAAGCTCAAAACCCGGTATTAATTCTGGGTAGACCACTCGAACCGGTTCATGGTTCTGGGATACCTGGTTCTTTACATGCTATTAAAATGGTCGTAATCCGAGAACGAAGCAGGCGGATGTTCTCAGCTATTTATGGCAAGGGGATTGTCCCTTACTAACCTTCATCTACCCGCGTTTTGATTGTGGCTCACATAGGGTTACAAGAGGAATTGATCTGACCCTCCACAAATGCGGCCTGCTAGTGGGAGGAAGGGTAGTTCACTCTAAAAGCGAGGGGTTCCATGGTAGGCTGGAGACGATCTGTTTGCCTTGGACTTTTTGGATAATGAGCCGTTGGGGATCCCAATGAACAAAAAAAAACGGATGGACTTAGGGTCGAAGCGGCAAGTTTTGAGGAACACCCGGAAACAACAGCATGGCGGACGTCAGTCATGTTTCCCAATGGGCCCCTTCAGCCTCCAAAGACGCGCTGTGCAAAACCATGTCTGGACTATGGGGAGTCGTGAAAGATAGAGGCCAGTTCTTGCACAATGGTTTACGTTAGACTGCCGAACAGGGTAAAGAAAGGGGTCACCGGGTTTCTACTTTCGACTGCCCACTGATTGATACATGGGTTCAACCTGACAACCGTACGGCCAGGAGGTCAGCGCTTCTGGCCAAATGGCACCGATGTCCTGATGTGCCTTTAAAAGTTTAAAGACACGTGCCTTCCCTCTCAAGGTGGGGTTCGCAAATGCTCAGTTCCCCTGTGGCATCCTTTAACAAAGTGTCACACTCAACAAAACCAAGCCAAGCCAGGCCGAACCAATCCAACACAAACAAAAACACACGAAAACAACCGAGAAACCACACAAAGGAGACAAAAGAAAGCAACAAACAAAACACAACAAACCAAAACAAACGACCCACCAACCGTGAGCCGGTCAATCACCGGCCAAAACCAAGCAACCAAGTAAGCAAGCGAACAAGCAAGCGAACAAGCAAGCGAGCAAACAAACGAGCGAGCAATACAGCAAGCAAGCATGCAAGCAAGAAAGCAGGCAACCAAGCAAGCGAGCACGTGAGCGAGCAAGCCAGCACGCATGCAAGCAAGGCAAAGAGCCAACACGCCACGCCACGCAAACAACAAACCAACAAACAGGCAGACAAACAAACAAACAAACAAACAAACAACCTAGATCTTCCGGGGGCGCCGAATTTTCGCCCCGGGGCTTAGGGTTCAAAGTTTTTGACCCCAAAACAAAAAACTGCCCCGGACCAAAAAAAATGCCCCTTGCGTTCGGCTCCGACCCGTCGCGCTCTCTTACGTAGCCGCGCACAGCGGACATCATGGATACAAATGAGCTAATTTGAACCCAACACAAACCATATTCAAATAACAGAGTCCCCCTGTAAAGATTCCAAAGGTCATTACCTGCATCTTCCCTTGTGTGTGTGTTTTTGCCCCCTTAGAAAAGAAACAGGTTCTTTCTTGGAGGGGCGGTGTTGGCAAGGGCCGGAAATTGCAATTCGCCCGCTCCAGCAGCATTTGGGTACAGAAAGCGTGCCTCTCAGTGTGGCATAAACCGACCTGCGCACATCCCGCCAATCGCAGCAGTTGAGGTGCAAAACAGGCATGCTCCCTTGCCTGCTACCTGGAGCCGCTTTTCTCGATCTTTTTTTAACCCGCAGCAAATGGACTTTTCGAATTGCAGCCACGACGTGCTGAGCATAGCGAAGGCTGAAGGCTCAACCGGCAATATCGAAGGATCTTTGTCGTTGGTTGCCCTGCCAGGTCTGCTTCATATTATATAGGGTCCTTCTGGGAGACCTCCCAACGGTTGCTTTTTGGACATGTGACTTCAGAGGACTACGCAGGGCAGGCAAGGTTCACTCACGACTCATAACGGTTTGGCCCACTGCTTTGTATACGGGATGGAGGCCTTGCCCTGAACAACGAGCAGATCAGGGAAATTGCCACAAACCATCGAAAGCAAGGCCGCTGCACCTTTACCTGAGCGACAGTGGTACTTGCGACAGCCAGTGCCTCAATTTCTGATTGTGGAACGCCTTGCGGACAAAGCCTTCAATACTGTTACCTAGGGTTGAGTTCGCAATGCTCACCTTGGATCCGAGACCAGGACCAAGCTCGAACCGATTGCTTTGGAACCTTCTGCCGTGCTAGGCAAAATCTGAAGCTGGCCCTCACGCTGCCACCTGCAGCAGGGATTACTCTGACCCGGTCATGGACAGTAGGAAAAGCACCACGCGCCGTTGCAGTGGCTGGCGCTCGTGCGAAAGTTTGACATTCCTCGGCATGAACCCCCGAGCTCACTAACATGGATCGATCCAATGTGATTACAAGACCCCCTGAATTTGCGGAACGCCGCATCTTTCCACAAGCTGCGTGCTTGTACGGAACCCAAAGGGGAAGACCCCAAAATAATTTTCCTCTAGGATTTTTTCCCCCTCTTTAGGTCGGGTTAGTTGAACACGCATCTCAAAATTTTCTGGTTTCAGCTAGATTCGATTCGACTTTCTTGTTTCATGTCATGAAACCCTGAAATGTGCAAACGCGAGTTTCATGAAACCCTGAAATGTGTGCAGCGCAATTCATGAATTCTTGCAACTCTGTGACATTTCTTCGGTCTTCGACTTCGAGGCAAGGTGGTACCCGGGCTGCCTCGACAAGGGTCGACGAGGAAAAGGTCATCGACACCATCTTTATTTGAGCCCTGGCCCCGGAAGACCCGACCGACCCCGAGACCGGCAAAAACCGCCCCGGGACCGGCCAAAACCGCCCCGGGACCGGCCAAAACCGCCCCGGATATTTTGACAACTCCGGCCTCATGAATCCCATCCGCAAAAACTCATGAAATTTGGTCCGGGGATCGACTCTTGAACTGTGGGCTCATGAAGTGGCAGGTTCATGAAACGGCATGTGCCCTCAATTCATGAAACGCGCTTTCACAGTCAACACAGTTTCATGAAACGCGCTTTCACAGCAACACATATCAGGGTTTCATGAAATACGCTGTCGCGAATTCAGAGCTTCATGAAACGTGCTTATTTCACAGACGTGGCAGATTTCAGGGTTTCATGAACCGCGCTTCGCAGTCACGCATGACACATTTCAGGGTTTCATGAAACGTGAAACGCTCTTTCACAGAGTTGCAAAATTTCATGAAATGCGCTGCGCACATTTCAGGGTTTTATGAAACTCGCGATTGCACATTTCAGGGTTTCATGAGATTAAACAAGAAAGTCGAATCGAATCTAGCTGAAACCAGAAAATTTTGAGATGCGTGTTCAACTAACCCGACCTAAAGAGGGGGAGAAGAATCCTAGAGGAATTTTTTTTTGGGGTCTTCCCTTTTGGGTTCCGTACAAGCACGCAACTTGTGGAAAGATGCGGCATTCCGCAAATCGAGGGGCTCTTGTAATCACATTGGATCGATCCATGTTAGTGAGCTCGGGGGTTCATGCCGAGGAATGTCAAACTTTCGCACGAGCGCCAGCCACTGCAACGGCGCGTGGTGCTTTTCCTACTGTCCATGACCGTGTCAGAGTAATCCCTGCTGCAGGTGGCAGCGTGAGGGCCAGCTTCAGATTTTGCCTAGCTCGGCAGAAGGTGCCAAAGCAATCGGTTCGAGCTTGGTCCTGGTCTCGGATCCAAGGTGAGCATTGCGAACTCAACCCTAGGTAACAGTATTGAAGGCTTTGTCCGCAAGGCGTTCCATAATCAGAAATTGAGGCACTGGCTGTCACAAGTACCACTGTCGCTCAGGTAAAGGTGCAGCGGCCTTGCTTTCGATGGTTTGTGGCAATATCCCTGATCTGCTCGTTGTTCAGGGCAAGGCCTCCATCCCGCATACAAAGCAGTGGGCCAAACCGTTATGAGTCGTGAGTGAACCTTGCCTGCCCTGCGCAGTTCTCTGAAGTCACATGTCCAAAAAGCAACCGTTGGGAGGTCTCCCAGAAGGACCCTATATAATATGAAGCAGGCCTGGCAGGGCAACCAACGACAAAGATCCTGCGATATTGCCGGTTGAGCCTTCAGCCTTCGCTATGTTCAGCACGTCATGGCTGCAATTCGAAAAGTCCATTTGCTGCGGGCTAAAAAAAGATCGGGCTAAAAAAATATCGAGAAAAGCGGCTCCAGGTAGCAGGCGAGGGAGCATGCCTGTTTTGCACCTCACGGGAGGGGGCGCCTCAAATGCGTGATGCGCACAGGTCGGTTTATGCCACACTGAGAGGCATGCCCAAATGCTGCCGGAGCGGGCAAATTGCAGTTTCCGCCCCGGGGCTGAAAAACCGCCCCTCCAAGAAAGAACCTGTTTCTTTTCTAAGGGGCAAAAAAAAAAGCACACTGGGGAAGATGCAGGAAACAATCAAACAATCAAGGGATCCCAAGCTCAAAGGACACAAGCAAAGTGAGCCTGGTACCGTCCCTCCGACGGACCCAGCGAACAGCCACTCGGATCGCCTGCAGCTGCTCAGCTGCCTGCAGCCAGCTCCCAAAGCTTAGCACGTCCAGGCCGGAGGTCAACTTCCCAATGGTGGCCAGGGAAGGATCCACCAGCAAACTCCTTGGCGTTCGGCGTCTCAAACATGAGACCCCCAAAGTGGAACAAATGGAAACACAGATGGGCAAACATTGGACACACATCTGCAAAGAAAGTGAAGAACCTCTGAACAATTCTGCATGAGCCAAAGCCCCTGCCACAAAACAAATCCCCAAAAGGAGCTTTGGTGAGCTCTTCCCCCCCCCCCCCCGCGAATCGAATCGGTGAATCCTGCGCCGGCATGGCATGTGCCAAGGTTCCGCGCCCTTTGGGCGCTCAAGCGCCGGGCCCAGCGCACCACCGGGATCTTGATGTGGGGCGCACACAGCCGGGCCCCCTGGCACGGGCGCGGATCGGTGCGCGCGGATCGCTCAGAAGGAAGCTCCGTGTCTTCAAGAGAGCTGGCCAGCTCGCTGACAGAACTGGGCCCGTTTTGAGATCCGCTGAAAGTGACTCACTTTTAGTGGGTCGAATGGAAACTACCACTAAGCACTACAAGGCACAAAACCTTTCGGACCGGATGGCTGGGAGCCAAGAGAAGACAAGACCAAAGAAGAAAAGCACAAGAAAAAGATGTGGGCGGGTCTGGTGGGGGAATAGTCCCAAAAGTGGAACCCGCTGCGGGTTTCAGTTCGCATGCTCGAAAACTGGCGGGGGCGCGATGCGAGTTCGGAGCGTTCGGCGCGGAGCCAGGCCCATTTGCACGGGTGCACGCGCACTTTTTGCAACGCCAGTTTGCACCACTTTCGACATAACACTGGGGTGACGGCGTGCCTAAACTCTGTTTTGGCATTCCACTCCGTGATAGCGCCTGGTTTGGCTTGAGAACGAGGGTGCATAGCTACCGGGCCTAGATCGCTTGCACAGGGCAATCATGGACCATCACGGGCATCCGGGAACCTCTTCGTTAGAACCCATTTAGGGTCACGTTAAGCAGCTTTGCGAGGCCAGTGACAAAACCATGAGGCGGAAGCCAAGCGTTCCAAGTCTTGGCCAGTTGGCATCGCGTGGCCGTGCTCTATTCTTTGGGCTCACGGCCTGGTTTTATAAATGAGTCAGCACTCACCTTGGTTGCTGCTGACCCCTCTGCAACAAGTTTAACCTCTGGTGGCTCAATGGGAAAATCCTCTGTTTCCTACAAGTTAGTCCACAGATCCAACCAAATAGCCATAAAGTCACAAGATGTCACAAGGTTGTGCGAGTCGATTGCGAAGGACCTGAAACCAGCAGTCATGCTCCAGGAATGTCACGGGGGCTTGTAACCGCTGAGCTACCTGCGTGAAAGTGACCATACTTTTTCGAGCCAGAATTGGAGTTGATGGAGTGGCGCCACCTACTTTCAACCAGGGCGGTCTTTTTGCCACCTGTTTGTGAGAATATTGGCGACCCCCTGAAAAAGGAATCCTTCACTACGAGGGGGTCGAAGAATTTTCCACCAAAGGTGGCCAACAAAAAAAACAACTGCTTTCAACTCCAAATTGATGTCAACTGAATTGCGAACCATGCCACTCTGCCTCCCAGCAGTGCTGGCGGGTCGCCGCTGAGCACAAAGACCTTGGGGGGATCTTGGGCCTTGGGATCCCTGGAATCCATGGAGTCATACTGTGGATGGACGAAATCCATTTCGCACCACTTTGAAACCATGGGAAGCCATTGTGCGTTGGTATTTACGGGGGAATCATTCATTCCAGGGTTTAGTGGTGCAGGATTTCGTCCATCCACAGTATTTGGTTTGGATTGGTGGGAAAAGCTGATGGAGTGAGTTGGCAAAGATTGGACAGGAGAATGTGTCCACAAAAACGCCAGTGCAAGCGATTTACATTCCAACTCCCACCCCCTTTTGCACCTCCCACGATTTTGATTTTCGCTTCGCTCGAGCACGCGGTCCTGGCAAAACGAGCGTTTTGGCAGAAGATGCGCCCTCCACCAGCTAGAATTGAACATTCATTCGCCAAAGCGTCCCTTTGATTCGTGGACAAATGCCCCATGTTGGTGGGAGATATCCTAAGTCCCTAGCTTCCATTGGCTGAGGCCTCCTGGGAAAAAAGAGGAGCAGATTTCCACGAGTGAAATCCATTCCCTTCTAATTAAAATGTTTTAAAGCAACATAAAAAATAACACAACGTGCTTGAGCAAATGGAAGCCAGACACCGAGGGGCAAATGGGTGACGGCCGGCGCTTCCAGGAATTCCAAGATGCAGGTCACCGCCGGGCCACTGTAGCTGAAGAAGGTGCTAGCGACCTAAATCGCTCAACACGAAATGAGAAATATACATATATATATATATATATAAACAAAAACAAAAAAACAGTTGGGGCGATGCTCTCCTTTGCAACGAGTATACACGGCTCGCGGGTGTCTTGCTTGCACCTCAACTGAAACCTCAAAGCTGCACAAGCCTCAAACCATCGATTCGCCAAACAACTTGAATCCTGGGGCTGGAAAAGAGCATTGATCACCAAGTTATTAAGTGCAAGAATCACCCCTCGTATCCTCATTCAGCGAACCTGGATTAGATTCAAGCAAGAACTCGATCAGAACGGAAAGAGCACGCTCGAGACTCATGACACAAATCCTCGTCCCATCCCGTAGCGTCTCCCCGTCTCTCACACGCCACAAGGCCCAAACACACAAGGCCTGTTCAACTGGCTATTTGAGAAGCTGAAATTCATGGGGTTATGGTAAGGGCCACTGTCTATGGGTTCCAGAAGGCCGCAAAAATATGGTGCCATCGGGGTTCCCATGACTAGAATAAGAGAGCCAGTGCTGGAGCATCAAAGGAACCAAAACGGAAAGCCCAAAAGGACACCAACAAAAGCTCAGATGCCAAGTGACCATGGGAAAAAAGGGGCGCCGCTTTTTTGTTGGTGGAGTTTACAAAGGAACCCTTACCCAAAAAAAGTTGAAACAAGGGCACCACCGGGCAACAGAGAAAGGATACCAACAGAAGGACCCTGAAAACCGGATTCGTGTTGGTCAAAGTGAGGCGTCAGCTTGTCTCCCAAGCCGCGTGCAGGTTCTTCTCCAGGATGCCCAGCGCAGAGCCGAGGAGGTGGGACTGCACCGCCGGCCGCTGCTCATACCGCAGCTGCACTTGTCGGTACGCCTCCTCCAACTTCCTGGCAGCTCCCGAAATGAAAGGAGCCCATTTAAAAAAGAAAACAAAACATGTAAGAACATGCAAGAACATTCAGAGTCACCCAAAGGTAGTCCTGGAAGCAGGTGCTGAACTAACGGGAGCCCAGGGTCAATGAACCTGCTGATTCATACAATGTGCGATTGGTTGCGGCCCCCGTTTTCATGGAGCGGCCGCACAGTATGCAGATCTCCTGGAGGCCTTGTAAAGAGCTACGACGAGCTTACGGGATACCTGACAAAGGAACAAAGGAACCATAGCTCAAACCCAACACCCCCACCTGAAACCTGCTTCCCCCTTGAGAATGTTATTCGCTGGGGAGCTGTTGTTGAGACCGTTGTTGTTGGATGGCACTCGCTGGGAAGATATTGTTGAGACCGTTTTTGTTGGATTCCCTGGATGGCCACGGTCACTCACTTAAACATGGCCAACCCCTCAAAAAAATCGGACTCACTTTCTTGGGGGTAGTTTTCGACGAGGAATCGGAGTCATTAGGAAAGAAGCCGAGAGCCGAGGCGCCCCAAACGACTGGCCACCTGTTTGATGCGGCTCTGACGCAACTGGCCCGCGAGCTCCGTCAGCCGCTGCTTCTCCTGGCGAGTCGACCGGCGAGTCGACCCCCCAACCCAACGTGGCATTGGGTCCATTCCAATGACACCCTCGAAATAACCCACAAGTGGCCAAAACCCTTCAAAGGTCCCCTTGAGGGACCTGGTATAAAAAAATCAGGGAAGCCCAGACAAGTCGATCTTCGGCTCTTGCTCGCTTGTTCAAACCAAGGGGCGGTGATCAATTTGGTGGGTGGCTCCTGTCCAGAAGCCTGAACTGAGGCCTTGAACGACGCACATGTAGACCCCAACGCTTTACTCAGTACCGCCTGCACGCTCTGAGAACCCTGACGGGTGCTTTGCTAAAAGAAAGGCACATCTAGGAAGCCGCTCCTTCGCTCAAAAAACATGAACCACTCTCAGGAACTGGCACACTCTAAAGCCCTTAGATAGCGATGAGCACAACGCCAAAGTGATTGTGAGACAACCAAAACAAAAATAAATAATGATTGCCTCGCATAATAGTATGCATACAACTCAACTCATGCGTGCATGTACGTATGTAATCATATAAGTATTGAAATGTATGTATGCAGGTATGCATGCGCGAAGGTATGTATGTATGTATGTATGTATGTATGTATGTATGTATGTATGTATGTATGTATGTATGTATGTATGTGTATGTATATGTATGTATATGTATGTATATGTGGGTATGTATGTGTATGTATGTATATGTATGTATATGTATGTATATGTATGTATATGTATGTATATGTATGTATGTATATGAATGTATATGTATGCATATGTATGTATATGTATGTATATGTATGTATATGTATGTATATGTATGTATATGTATGTATATGTAGGTATGTATGTATGTATGCATGCATGCATGCATGCATGCATGCATGTATGTATGTATGTATGCATGGATGTACATGCGTGTATGCATGCATATATGCAATCGTGCATGTATGCGTATGTATACAATGCTGAACATGTATATGTCATTCTATGTGTATATATGTATATATATGTTTACGTGAATGCATGCATGCATTTGTTGGTCGCGAAGTAGGCGAACGCAGCGCAAAGTCTTTGCTGCAACCGCTTTCCAAGACGGTCCTGGGGCCAGTCGCAGCGGCACAACGGGCAGCACAAGCGGAGCCGGGTCTCTGAGGGCATTCGCGACATCGCCTCGAACAAGACCTGAGTTGTATTGTAGTCAAAACCGCACGCACACACACACACACACACCCGCGCACAAAAACAAAAAACAAAAACAAAGAACCCACACACATAATCATATAGAAACACGTAGGCACACATAAGTATTAAGCAAAACCAGGTATTAAGATGGTCTACCTGGAGCCATGCATTCAAGAATTGAAAAAGGCGGATATCCGCACCCACTTATGGTTGGGGCACGTCCCTTACTAAGCTTCAACTATCCGGGTTTTGATTGTGGCTCACCTGGTACTCGCAACATGCTCCCCACCCCCAGAAAGAGTGGACGTCCTCTCGGAGGGAGGCCCGACATGTTCCTTCGCTGTTCTTGGCATGTCTTTTGCCTTTTGTTTCTATCCAAAATTTGTGGGGGGCGTGCAGGGACCACAGTTTCTTTGTGATGTAACCCCGGGTTAATACATCCCTCGTTGATGAACAGGGAGTGTCCCCTTTTAGTGGGGATTCATCACTCTCAGAAGGAACACCTCCCCAATAACAGGACGTTTTTGTTTTTTTTTAACCCGGTGTCAACATTAGCATGCTGTGCATAGGGTCCCATCCCGTAGTTGTATGTGTCAAGATGAGGTCACCCCCCCAAAAGATGGGTGGCATTCCTTTTGGTTTCCCTCGAAAACCACTCCAAAAAGTGTACCCTTCCCTTTCAAATGACACATGTTTGCGCTCCTGTCCACCATTATATGGTTTTCCCCAGTTTAGATCTGTTCACCAGGAAACCGATCAATTTTCTGGAGCTGTTGGATTGTCTCCAGGTTTGAAGGTTTCTTTTCAGATTTTGCACATCGGAGGTTTTCCCAAATTCGAGTGCCCCCTGCCCCAGTTGAAAGTTTCGAATGAATGGACGAAACCTTCACCACTTTCAAAGCATGGACAAGCCTTCTTTGTTGGTATTTACCAGTGAAATCAGACACCAGGGTTTCTGAAAGGTGAAAATCGAAATAGATTTCGCAACCATCCGCAGTAGGTGTAACTTTGGAAAAGATGGCCCTGGCAAATGGGGCATAAAACGAATCTAAACCAGTGGAACCCATCTATCTTTTAAAGAAAACCCACGTAAACCGGTGGAACCCGTCTGTTTTTTACTCTTTCGTTGGGACCCCCTACCCCCAACCCCATTCCCCCCCCCACCCCCCACCCACCCCACCCCGCCCTCCGCCCGCCCCGGTTGCGGCCTAGGGGCCGCCACCGCCTGAAAGCCTCGGCCCAGCTCGCGAGCCTCTTGGCGCAGCAAGGGGCCGGGGCTCTCGTCCGAAAGCGGCAGAGACAGCGCGGAGGAGAGGAAGTGCAGCGTGCAGTCGTAGTGCAGTCCTCGAAATGGACAGGCGTGTTTTTCTTCATGGTGGGGGGGGGGGCTTGGGGGGCTTGGGGGGGGAGAGGGGGAGGTGTGGAGGTGGGGGAGTGTTGGTTCATGTTGAGGGCTTGGGAGGGGGGGCGAAGGGGTGGCCTTGGGGGGAGGGGGGGGTGGGGGAGTGTTGGTTCGTGTTGATCTGGAGGGCTTGCGGGGGACGTGTGTTGGTTCATATTGATGTTGGGGAGGGCTTGGGGGTGGGGAGAGGTGTTTCAATTCGAGGTGGTGACATGAGAAAAATTGGCGGTACCAGGAAGAATAGATGGCAGAATTCCCTTCTGGGTAAAAGAGACGAACATGGAGGGAATTGGAAACAGCTTAAGCATCAGGCTGGGCTCCGAATTGGGGCATCCTAGGGAAAACCACCTACCATCAAGGAAGAAGGGATTGAACAACGGAGTCAGGCAAGGGTAAAGTGCGCACCACCCCTCAAACTGCCAAACTGCAGTGGCAGCAGGG